TAAAATTTAACTTTAACCCTTTAGGAACCATGATTCCCGAATCGAATTTTAAACGACCGAAAAACTAGGAAATATTATCAGATTCCTACCTGGAGATTTATCGATTAATCACTAAATTAGAAAAATTTCGAAATAAAATAGAACTTGGTACCTAAAGCAATAAATTTAATAATATTAAGTGCTGCCATCTTTATTCACAATAAGCATTTTGATATTACAGAAGAATCATAATTTATTTGCGTACACATCATCATTTTGTAAAATAAACTAATTGAAAATTGCAATTTTAAAAATTTTCTACACTTTATTTGTATAAACAGGGCTCCCGCCCTTCTCTCCCTCCCTCCTCCCCCTCTACCAAATTTTTTTTATATCAGAAAATTATCATAATCATACGATGATTATTTGTACATATACTTTTTTTTTACAAGCATAAGTACTTATAAATGAAATTTTAAATTAAATTTACAATATAAAATTTAGTTAGAATGTTTATCAAAAGGTTAATAATCTAGATAAAAATATACAAAAAAAAAATTTCCTCTTTTTTTTTTTTTAGAAAACGACTGAATGCTTATAAACTTGAAAATTATTTTGATAAAATTTTAAATTATTTTATATTTTACACAATGATGTGGTCATAATTCAGGTGATTAAACTTTCAATTGAAAAACATTTAAATGAATTTTTTTTTTATATTTTAACCACAATTTTAATTTTATACACAATGTATATGTTTGTGACTATGTAAGTACGTGCAAGGCCAAAAAAATATCCCATTTATCAGAAAATAAATACATGTACTTCATTATTTCTGTAGATGCGTATTAAATATGAAAAATGAATTAAGTACTTTAATTACTTTTTACAGATAAGATTAAAAAATTAAAAATAAGGAATTAAGTACTTTTGCTTTAATTTACGTTTCATATAATTGTCGTCACTATAATCTAAGAAACGTGAATAGGTTGAGAAATTTAAAATTGTGAAATATTTAAGCTATGAAAATGCGAATTAAGTATAAGGTGATAATTATCATTTTTCGGACGGAATAAAAATTAAATTTGCTTATGTACAATATGATTTCAGAACAGTCACACTATTTCTATTTGCATAATCTGTTTTAAATGGAAATTTCGATAGTGTTTGCATAGCGGTCACTCTGTTTTGTTTTTAGTATGAAAATTTGCATTTTAATACTAAGAGATTATTTTCCGCTACCGTGACCACATAAACGCTACTTAAATTAATGCAAAAATTCTATTAAAATTAAAATTTATATTTTATATTCTAAAAACTATAAATAAAATATTTAATAACACTGTCAAAAATATTTTAAATGAGCACCAGACCTGTAATAATTTTATCATTTTTCTTTACACTTGAATAAATGACGTGCTATATGTAAAATAAGTAAGTAAAAATTACTCAAATAACAAAAATTTATTACATACTTATTACTTACTCCTACAACTTAAAAATTAACTTTATTCTCAACAATCACACAAAACTACATACAAACATATTTGTATATTAGATTTAAAATTATTAATTTTCATTTTTTTTTTTCAGAAAAAGTACTTAATGGTGTTATTGTGGTGAAAAGTTTTTTAAAACTTAAAATTATAAAAGAAGAGAAATGAAAAAGAAAATCTTTTTAAATTAATAAAAAATGTTTCGCGTGCTCTTTTGCCAACTCAAGTAAATTTAAAATACAAACAATTCAAACAAATTTTTATTTCTATTTCTTATTTTTTTTTTTGTTGCTTAAGTATAACTAACACAGTTGACACGCAAACAAAATTGTTTTGCCTTTTTGAAAGAGATGCCAATATAAAATAAATGACTCATATAGAACCTTATAAAATACCGATTACTTACTTATATTTTAAAAATGAATAAATTTATAAATAAATTATATATAAAAATTTTTTGACATTCAACCAAAAAGAATTCAATAAAAGTATAAAAAATGGAAAAAAAAATTTCTTTAGAAAACTTTGATTATTTTGATTTTCTTTAAGAAATTAATGAATTTAAATAACATTTAAAAAAAATTTTATTGAAAAGTTCAATGTCATAAATTATAGGAGGTATGAGGCAAGTACAATAAACTTACTTAGTATTTTCTCTTTAATGACATCTCAATACAATGACAATTTCGTATTTAACGACAACATTAATTGTTGCATTTTATTTTGTTTAGCGACATTTTTTTACTACAGCAACAGTTTCTGATTGGTATTGTAAATTTTAATCAATTTAAATATTAGTATTTTCTTTGTACCTGTAGCTACTTATTCAAATCTAAAAAGTAAAATCAATAAGAGACCATAACTGTGTGTTGCCGTGTACATTTTCAATAATTTATCATCACTTATAAATCAGTATACGTGTTCTTATTTAAGAAATTATACAATACTATTCAAATGTCAATTTAATAAAAAAAATGAATTTAAAATAAGTACTTATTGTAATTAAATATCACAATAATTCCGAAAACACACGACCAATCTGCTGTAAATCAGAAATTGTGTTTCCATCTACCGGAAAAAAAATAACAGAACTGCAAAGGTCATCTATGTAATTGCTCGAGTAGTTGTGCTCAATTTTTGTTACTCTTGAGTGTTTTGAACGCATAACGTAACTTGAATGCAGGTACGAGTATGTACATTAATATCAAAAACCTTTTATCAAGTGGTTTCATGAAAGAGTGCTACCATTTTTTTTTAAACATTCGCAATGACATTTATTGCAAAAATATTAAGAAAATAAATAAAAAGAGTTCAAATAAAATTTTTTGTTATTTACAATTTGTTCCAGCTTTTAATTGCAATGGTTTTCAAAATTTAAAAATTTAATTTAAAATTTAATTACATACTTATTTTAAATTTGATGCTTATTTAATTGTTTTTCTTCCTTTGAAGAGAAAAATGTATAAGGTACTTTGGTAACTTGTACCTAAAAATTTCAAATTTACGATTATTGCATAAAATTTTTTGTTAATACAGCAAACGCACAACTTTTGTTTATAATATAAAACTAAGTACAGTGGAACCCCATTAATTCAAATCACTCAAAATGTAAAAGACTTCGAAATACAAAATCAAAACATTAAAAGTCTGTAAGATCTATTAAATATTTGGGAAAATTTACAAAACATTAAAAATATGTAAGATTAATTAAATATTTGGGAAAATTAAAATTTAAGCAAACAAAATTTTTTGCAAACAGAAATTCACGCTCCCGAGGGATCTGATTGAGTGGAGAAATCGATTAAGGGTATTGTATAAATAATAAATACGTAATTATTTCACATTTTAGTTTCCATTTTATAGAAATTCTTAAAGCATATACAGACGAAAATTTAAAATAAAATTTGGTTGATTTTAATTTTGCCAAATTTTATCATTTTTGTATAACAAAATAAACATTATTGCAATTATAATTATAAGTACGAGTATATACAATATTGCATTTGTTAAAATATTTCAAATTTGATTAAAAAATTTTAAGGAACATAAGCATTTTTGTTTTAAGACTATGAAAAATTTTAATTGTTTTTTTTATAATTTGTGCCAACAATTTTTCGTTTCTTATTCTCTTATACATTAACTTATATTTGAACTGCTTCAAGGGGTACTCCATATTCAAATCACGAAATATACATAAACATACATTTATACTTAAAATACAAGTATAAAATTGTATTTTGTAAAATATATTTTATTGTTTGTAATTAAAATTGAAAAATTTTACAAAAAATACTTAAATATGCAAAATGCCATACATTACTTTATGACCATAATTATTATGTAAAATTTTTTTTTTTTTTTTTTTTTGCAAAAATTATTAAATTTAATTTAATGAAAATTATAAATTTTTATATTTTCATTTCACGGATAATTAAAATTCAGAGGTTATAAATATTTACAAATGCATACTTAAAGCAACACTATACATGTACCTATGTACTCATTGAATACAAAATAAAATTTCTTAGTCATTTCTTCTAATTCTTGTTCTTGTGATCTTATACATAGTTAGTAAATAGATAAGTAATGACCAACGAAATTCAATAATGTATATACACATATATATGTATACATATATTAATGATTCTAATTTAAGTATAACAAATTTGAATAAGAAACAATAAACATTAATCATTTTTAAACAAAAATTTCATTTTAAATATTTAAAATGAAAAGAAAAAAAAAAATAATCCTAAAAATTCTAATTTTTGTACGTAAAAATTTTTAAATTTTTCAAAATAATTTTTACTGACCACAAATTCAATTTTTGTTGACGAATATTATAAAATGAAATACTTAAGTATCAACAATGACTTTCGAATTCCAATCAAAAAGAAAATAACAGAATCAACCAAACACATGTATATTTTATAAGTTACAATAAGAGTAAAATGTTGAATAAGAATTTCAATTGTTTTCAAAATGGATACACTTTATAATTCAATCAGCATTTAGTAATAAGAAACAATATTTTTATTACCTTCTAAATGCAGAAAATGAAATAAGTTATTTACTAGCTTGGTGAAGTAAATTTTTAAACTATATGCTTTAAATTTAAGATGTTAGTACCACTGTCCTGTGTTGTGGCAGTTTAATTTTTGAAGGACTGAAATTGTTAATCAGACTATATATTAATTGCAAAATCTAATTAAAAAATAAAAGAATCTAATTAGAAAAAATATCGAAGTCAAAATTCATTGAGTATTTACAATGATTCAATTTAATTGACAACTAACTGATAGAATTGACAACTAACTGGTTAAATTGATAATATATGGTTAGCACAGTAAACACTCAGTAATGATATTTGTTGCAATTTCAAAAATACAAAAAATTAATTAAATTATTTAAATTGTATATTTCGCTTGTATACGAGAAAATTTCCTAGAATTCATTTAATAACAAAAATATTTTATAAAAATTTAAAATTTAAAAATAATGAAAAAAAAAAAAAAAAAAACTTACCAAAATCATTTGATTCTTCTAATTGAAAATAATTTGGTGCTGCATATTTAAAAAAATTTATAACATGACTTGTTGCTAAACCGCCAGATTCAAATATTGCACGCCATTCTTTTAATGGTTTCTCATCCAAATCTCTTGGTTGATTTTCAGAATCTTCAAAAATACTCATTTTTATTTTTTGATAATTATCGTCTTGTTCTTGATTTGGTCTATTTGCTTCTTTATAAATTTTTAAAAATTGTTTCGTCTTTAAATCACTTATTAAATTTTTATTTATATTATTATTTCTATTTGAGTTATCCAGATTTGTAACGTTAGTGTATTTAAATTAAAAAAATAATTATTTAAATTAATAACTTTTTTTTTCTCTTCTTCTATAACTTTTACTTTTTTTTTGTTCTTTTTAATTATTTATTTAGAAAATATTCAAGTAATTTCTCTTTTTGATTTGTTTTTGTCAATTTTTGTCTTTTAAAATGTCAGATTTTGCTTTTATTATTCTCTTTTTAAAAAATCACGTTTACTTCTTGTTTTCTGTAAAAAATTTTTATTATTTATTTTATATTAATTATTATTTAGGCTAATTTAATAAATTTTTAGAAATATTTAATAAAATTAAAAGCACAAAATATTTATAAAATATTTTTTATTTTAGGTATTTTATTATTTTTTAGTTCAAATTTATAAATTATTACAACAATAAATTAATTCTACTTTATTTCAGAGAGTAAAACAGTATTTTTTCTTATTAAATTTCTCTTTGTTCAAAGAAAAGAAAGAGAGCGAAAGTGATGTTGAGAATTACTTGTATTTATTATTATTATTTCTTTTGCGTATGTTACTTCAAAAAATATTAACGTCGCAATTTCTCTTTTTATAATATTATTATTCAAAACAATGATAATTTATTATTTTACTCTCATATAAAGAAAAAAATATGCTCTTTAAAATAGTTGTATTAAAACAAAGTAATTGTATTATTAATTTGTTTATAATTAATTTTACCTTTTTGAAAAAAAAAAATAATGCAATAATCACTCACTTGACAATTTTATTAAATTGATTAATAATCGAAATCTCTCAAAATCACGCAGATTTAACCAAAAAATTTTAAGTATTAAATTAAATTTTAAAATTTATTTTTTTCTTAAATTAAAATTTATTCTTAAACCAAATTATTTTTCTATAGGAAAAATCAAATTAATTATAAATAATTACTTAATTTAAAAAATAATTAGTAAAAATTTTAAAATAAAGAATTAATTAAAATTTTTAATATTTAACTCTAATTGCGTTTTTCTTTAAAAAATAAAAAATTGTGCCTCTTTTATCACAATTCTTGGATTTTCATATATTTTTTTAATATATTTATTTTAATTTATTTAAATTAATTATTAATTTTTAAATTATTTATTATAATTTTTTTTTATTTTTATTTTATAATGCGTTTATTAAAATTAATTTATTTTTAATTAATTAATATTTGAATTTAATTTTTAAAAATTAATTATATTTTTTTCCAATTTTTAATAATTTTTTTTTTTTATTAATTATTTTGAAAAAAATTTTTTTTAAATAAGTATTTATTAAAATTTATTTTATTATTGAAATTTTTCAGCTGTGTCTGTACACTCTGTTAGTTTAAAATAATTTGAAAGCAAAGAAATATTTTGAAATTGGCGTCTTCGAAAAATTTGTATTTCGAACAAAAAACGGAACAATGAAAGTGAAAAAAAAAAATAAAAAAGAAAATGTGAAAAAAGAAAAAAAAATTTTTTTTTTATTTTTTGTTTTTGTCACAACAAAATTAAATTAAAATAAAGATTTTTTTAAAATAAAATAAAAATAAATTAAATATATTATATATATGTATATATATATACATATTTCAATTTATACAAAATATATTATCGAAAAATAAAGAAGGATAAGGAAAATATTATAAAAAAAAAATTTTTAATAACACGAGAGTTTTTCATTTTATCTTGAAAATATTTCGAAGATAAAATTTTCGAATATGAAAATTTCGAAAAAAAATTTTTTTTTTCAAAAAACTTTTGTCTTTCTTTCTTTTAGTTTTTGAGTGTCTTTTTGTTTTTTTTTTTGTTTAGTATTTTTCTTTATTTGTTATTGACCGTGAAAATATTTTTATTAAAAATTTTAATTTCCATTTTATGTAAGGTTATCGATCGAATCTCTTTATTTTAAATTGTTTATATACTTACTTAATTAATGGAAACAATAAATAAAATACTTATGTATTTAATTTAATTACATACGTATATATACATATATGAACGTATGTATTTTAAGGTGGGTAAATAGCATTTATTAATTATTTTCGGATGTATACGGATCTACTTATATTCTGCAGTTTATTAACACAATTGGATCAATGAAACTGAATTCGAAAAAAAAAAAAAATTTTTTTGTTGCCGTACTTACAAAATACATAAGCAATTAGAGAATTCGATTATTAATTACAGGTTAAGGTTCACTTTTAAAAAAAATTTATTTTGTAATTTAAGAGTGATGGAAATTTTCGTGATTTCAAAAAAACAGTAATACTGTAGTGCTACATACTTTTCAGTAATTATAGGAGCTCATTTTATAATATTTGTTAAATTAGTTAAATTAATATTTATGCCTTCTGAATGAATTTCGTAAGTGTTAAGAAACAATTTTTATAATGTATTTTTCCTTTTCTTGAAAAATTCATTATTTTTAACTTATACTCAAATTGTCCATTGTAATTATTAATAATACTACACTCGATTTGTTATGATACTATTCTTTTCTTGTAACAAATCATAATTTATCGGTAATTGCTATCCTATAATGAATTCTTCTATCAAATCAGATAAAATTTATTCAGTAGTATAGTGGAATTTTTGGGAAAAGTATACAATCACTTTCAAAACAGTGATTTACTCCATTCAAAACTTTTATTTGTGTTCATTTATATTTCGAAATTTTGATTTTTGGTTTATTAACCTGAACTGAAAATGAAAATTTTCGGAGTATGTCAAAAACAAAAAAATCTGTTTAATAAACAAGTATACAACATACATACATACTATTCCATTTGTATATAAAAATGTATGTTGTTATATGGGGAAGAAGAAAAGAAATTGCGCAAAAAATAATTTATTTATTTTATTTTAGTTTTTCATTTTTAAATAATATATGTATGTATATAAGTAAAATATATAGCAAAACAAAAATTTTATTTCGTAATTAAGATAAGAAATATGAAGATTTTTTTGTTTTATATCCTTCTGAAAATGAAAAGCGGAAAATTTTTTTTCTTTATATTTAAATTATTAATTAGCAAAATGAAAAAGATTTCCTGTCATTATTATTATTATTATTATGGCATGGACAATGTTAAATTTTTAAATTTTTGAAACTAGTACAAGAAGAATATATGCGAAATGAAGAGGAAATTATTGTGCGCGAATGATTTTGTTTATTAAAAACAAATAACAAAAATATTAAATTAAAGAATTAAATTGTTTGATTTATTTGAAGGGTGAAAATGTATAAAAGTATTTTAGAAAATATTTATTAAGAAGTGTAGGAATTAATTGTATTAGTGTTAAGTTTATTAAGTATACAAGTATTTAATAGTGATACAAAGAAATAAAGTATCCATATACAGTTTAAGTATATTGCTAACAATATAACAGTATAAATAAATTAAAAAAGTAAAATAACACAAGTGTTGAAATTTCAGATAAGTAACACGAAAACCACAATATCACCGTGACGACATTTTATTAACGAATGTAAATGTAAAAAAAAAAAATTCAATATTTTCTATGACTTCAAAAATGTTGTAATAAAACACGTGTGATGAATTGTATCCATAAATACTAAATACTCGAAATTTTGAAGTCAAGTGATTTTTGTTATAAACCGTGATACAGAATTTATAGTAACAAATATAGAACGCAATTCAGCAATTACCTCTATTTAAGCCAATTTATATTCAGAAATATTTAGCTGTGTAACAATAGATTATTAATGCGATTCAGATATCCCAGTATAACACAGAATTCAGCCTATATTTGTGATACATTAAATAAGCGAAACACCAAATTTTCGATTTTACAATATGATTCAATTTATGTCAAACAAATCCACAATATTAAGTTATCAGTATTCCGTCAGTTTTTGCTGTCATGTCATTTAAAATTAATATTAAATAACCACCAATTATTTGAATACTGTCCACTGTAGAGTATTGAGTATTAAAATTAATTAAAATTAAAACTGGGAACATAAAATTCAGAATAAAAACAGTTTAAGTACAAAATTCTAAAAATAAAAATTATATAGCTTTACTTATAGCAAATGGTTTTTATTTTTTTATAAGCATTTTATTGTCATCAATCTTATTTTATTAAGTCATTATTATTAATGATAATAATAATTTCTTTTTTGTTTTATTTTAATATTCTTCCCTATTTACTTATTTCGTGTGGGTTGCAATTAATTAATATTTATATAGAGCGTTATAATGACAACACGTGGTAATAATATCAACATAATGCATTTATTTAATCACACATATTTATATATTTATCATTATGACAGTGTACTATAATTAATTAAGTATTTCATATTATTTATACACTCATATATTTGAAACTGTTCCAGTAAGATAAGAAAATAAAATAAAAAATTGGATTTTAAATGCAAATAATGTGCGTCTACATACAATTGTAAATAAAATGGAAAAAATAGTAAATAGTAAAGTACATAGGCAGTGGGGAATTTTTTCTTAAATATTTTAAATTTAATATTTTAATTATCATTTTCATAATTTGTAAAATATTCATTGATTCGGCAATAAATGTTAGTTTCAGAAATGAAATTTCATGTTATGCATACAAAGTTAAAAATTATTTGACAGAAATGGTGACATTTTAATAGAATTGTATCAGATGTACTACTTAATTTTATTTAAATTAAGTATCAGAATTTTAATTAAACGTATAATTTACAAATCAAGCTTTATCATTTTGTATTTTGCTGATATTTTGTTATTGTTTCATACCAAAATCTTTTTAATATGAACTTCTTTTTTAATAAAACTTTTTATTTGACACAAATAAATAAAATTTTTATTTTGACAGTTTTAAATTGCAATGAATATACCAATTGACATATTCGTTTTGAAAAATTTTTTCAAATTTAGGATAAATTAATTTTAGTTTTCGAATAGATTTGATAACAATTCCTGTTATAAATTACAGTTAGTTTCTTAGGTGATTACATCTAAAATTTATAACCATTAAATTAATATATCCAAATCAACTTAAAATATTATTAAGTAATACGGCTATACGGGAATACAATTCGAAACTTTCATTTCAATTCGAAATCAAATATTCAATTATGTAAAAATATTTTACGTAAAATGGCAACTCTTCAAAAGTGTTATTAAGTTTATTTCTTAAATCAATGAAATAAATCAAAAAATTCGTGACAAAGTAATTTCATCGAAAAAAAAGCAAAAATTTGTTATGCATTTGTGATTACAAAAATATTTTTTTCTTTCATAATTTTTTTTTTTGAAATATTTTAAATTTTTAACTATGATTTTATCACTATTTTTTTTTTCCACCAAAAAAATAATAAATTATAAATTAATTTAAAAACAAAATAATTATGAAAATAAATTTTTGTTTTACGATGCGTAAAAAAAAAATAATTTCCGCGTATATTTCAGATTTAGAGTAAAATTATTAACAAAGAAATTTTTCCGATACTTATAGCACAAAGAAAATTTTTGAAAATTCGAAATGAGTAAGTGCTGAAAACAAAAAACGATGTAGATGTAGGTACATGCAAATTAGCATACTCACTGTATATAAATGTGAATACACAAGAGAAGCAGCTGACTTGTGAATACTATATTGTTTATAAAATGTTATATTAATGTTATATTACATATAACGGTATGTAATTATGTACATAAATAAATAAAATTTAATGATTTTATTTAATTTTTACAAATAAAATGTAAAATTTTAAAATTTATTTATTTATTTCTTTTTATTATAAATTGTTCAAATTTTTTGATAGCCATTTCAAAAACTAAATTTATAAATTATTTAATTTCTTATTTTATTGAAATGTTTACATTTTGAAATTGAAGTGAAAAGAATAATGTTGAAATTGAAATTTCAACAAAGTCAAGGTCATAAAGCTATCAACCTTTTTTTATATTATAATATATACAAGCATATATGTATGTGTGTATACATAATGTTGTCTGTTAATAATATTTACAATTAATTATAGTCAAAA